AAGCTTTTTGAGAAATGAGGACGTCACCAATGTCCCCATATTACACCTCCTTTTTGTAATACCTGTGTCATACCTTTGACATTATACAGATTTGTGTCCTGACATGTCACAAAAACACGTACACACACACACAAACACACACACACACACACACACATATCTAATTGTAAATCATTCATTACTTTTCCTTTGGCTTCATCCTTTTATTTATCAGGGGTCACCACAGCGGAATGAACCGCTAACCTATCCAACTTATGTTTTACGCAGCGGATGCCCTTCCAGCTGCAACCTAGTACTGGGTTGCTACATACACTCTCATTCACACACATACACTACGGCCAATTAAGTTTATTAAATTCCCTATAGCATATTTGGACTGTGGGGGAAACCTGACCCACGCCACCATGGGGAAAACATGCAAACTCCAAACAGAAATGACAACTGACCCAGCTGGGGCACAAACCAGCGACCTTCTGGATGTGAAGTGACAGCGCTAAGCACTGAGCCCCAGTAACGCCCCTAATTGTAATTTGAAATGTTTTTATTTCAGCATTATTCCTCAAACTTTAGATTTTACTAATTTGTCAACAAGTTTTAATAAATTTAAAATACACTAAATATTAAGTATGATCAATTGTTATGGTATAGGTCAGGTGTGTCAATAACAGAACATTAGAAAAATATTGGCATTTTATTTACAGAAATGTTTTTTGAAGCATTAATATACACTGATTTTGTGCACAAATGTAAATATATTATCAGTTATACACTTAAAAATGACGTTTACTGTTTGTTTAAACAACTTATTTAAAATGAGCTGAAACAACACAATTCCTGAAGTTTTTTTTAATAACTTGTGTTCAGTGTTCAATTTACTTAAATTTGTAAAAACTAATAAGCTTAATAAACTTGATTTCTTCATGTTGTCCCAAATCCATTGTGTGCAACCCATCATTTGTTATAATGAAGTTGAAATCCAACATTTTTATTTAAAAACATCTTTTTCAGGATTATTTGATGCCTCATAAGGGAAGTATGGAAGTATGGATCAATTTAATGCTAGCGCACTTACTGACTAAAAGCATTAATTTCTTAATTAAATAACCACAAACCCCAAAACAACTCAAGCAAACATCATTTTTTTGGCTGCATGTTTCCACTTAATTTAAAGTCAGTTGAATGCAAGTTTAATGGACTTGTAAGATTAATTTGATTCAACTTAAAAATGTAAAATGTTTAATTTTATTTATTTATATATATATATATATTTTTTTTTTTTTCAGTGTAACAAGACTTCATCAGCATAAATATGCCTTTAAGTAAAGCACTGAACTGCTCTCCTGACTGCCGTCTGCTCTAGGTTTACCTTTTGGGAGTTCGATGAGATCAGATCAGGACAGAGACGGTGAGGGACTTTCTGTTCTTTTAAGTGAGATAAATCAAGTTTTTATGACAGAAATCGTACACAATCACTAAAGACACCTTGGGGTTTACAGAATGCATTGAGGGGAATGTAGTCTGCCGTCTATCACAGGAAAGTGCAATACTCTATTGATCATGCAGTATATCTGAAGCTGAAAGCATCTATATAGTCATCTGGACTGATGCTTTACTGGCAGATCATCTAAACTACATTTATCTGCCGTCAATTGAAGTGTTTCCAGGGGTCTCTAGCAGGGGGTCCGCAGTCATACCGCAGGGGTTCGCCAATTATTGTTTCATTTCAGAAGTCTTTTTGGGAACATTTTATATATGCAATAAATGAAAATGCTTTATCACTGTAATGTTTAGAAGTTAAAGTTCTGCTAATTGCTTCGTTGTTTCATTCCAAATTAAAAATGAAAATACAGTGCTCAGCATAATTGAGTACACATTTTGAAAATGAATATTTTTATCCATTATCAGTAAATATAGGCAATGTATATTGGTGCATTTAAACAAAACTGATTTAATAAACAGATATATTGATTCAAATAATGTTTTAGTCACCAAAAATATTCAGAAATTGAAAGATAATACAATAAAATTCAAGCAAAATTAACAAATATATATATATATATATATATATATATATATATATATATATATATATATATATATATATATATATATACACACAAACTACACAATTTCAACAAAAGTTGTCCATTTTTTTTTTACTTCTCTTGATTTTTCCTCTTTTTAAAAAAAATAAATTATTTAATATTTTTCTATAACATTGAAATTTGGGTGTACTAGTTTTGGGTCCATTATCGTAGGTTATTTTGTTAGATAAGCTCCAGATTTGGCTTCAGTACTGAGTGAATAATCTAATGTAAATGCACAAATATATTATTGTATAGCTTCCTAAATATAAATTTAAAAGATACATTTGTAAGGGGGGAAAATTATATGCTGAGCACTGTATTTGCTCAATTTCTTAGCATAAATGATATCTGCTGAGCTATTTAACTTTGTACTTTTTTATTAATAATTTGAATCTTATTTTATTCATGTTTTTGTTTAAAGATTCGTTTCGTTGTTATAATTTTTGTATTTTTTTGTTTTGAAGTATGCACTTATTCACTTTTGGTATATCCTGTTTTGTTTGCTTTTTTTTGAGCAGAAAATGACAATTATGACCATGATTCAAGTAGACACTGCACTAAAATTTAATTTTGTGTAACTATGTGGAGAAATAAAAGATAATAATAATAATACTAATAATAATACATTTATTTTAGTGCCTTTTCAGTGCTTAAAGACCCTTTACAAGGTGATAACAAAGAATAAAAAACACACACAGATAGCAAAAAGGAAATAAAAACTACAGAACTTAAAGATTGTAACATTCACAAAATAAGTGAGTAGTATTATTAAGATGAGATCAATAGTAATAAGGTTTTATTCAATGACTACAAATGTCAAAATACTCATTAATTGTCCTTTTAAATCTTTAAACATTTGCCACACTATATACTTCAAACCACTATTCCTTATTCTTTTATAACCTGTTTAACACATTAAATATTGCAAAAAATTAATTAACCGAAAAAATTGCAACTAAATTTGTCAGTTTTTTTTGCTTCTCTTGATTTCTTCCTCTTTTTAAAATTTGTATTTAATATTTTTCTATAACATATACATTTGTCTGTACTTTTTGTACCGTTATCGTAAGTTATTTTGTTAGATAAGCTTCAGATTTGGCTTCAGTATACTGACGAATCTAGCGTATATGTACAAATATAATATTGTACAGCTTTCTATCAAAAATATAAATTTAAAAGAGATTGTGAGGGGTGCGCTTATATATGCTGAGCACTGCATTTGCTCAATTTCTAAGCATAAATAATATCTGCTGAGCTTCACCAAAATGCTTATAATGTAAATCTTATTTTATTCTCATTTTATTTATCTGTTTTTGTTTAAAGATTCATTTTGTTGTTGTATTTTTTTTATTAGTTTTAAAATATGTACTCAATTACTTTTGATGCACAATGTTTTGTTTGTTTGCTTGCTTGTTAACAATCAAACATTTTGACCATGATTCACAAAGACACTGCAGTAAAATGTTATATTGTGTAACCATGTGCAAAAATAAAAGATAACAATATTAATAATAATAATAATAATGGGCTTTAAGTTGGCGCAGGGATCGCCTCACAGCAAGACGGTCACTGATTCAAGCCTCGGCTTGGTCAGTTGGCATTTCTGTATGGAGTTTGCATGTTCTCCTCGTGTTGGTGTGGGTTTTTCTACGCGTGCTCCGGTTTCCCCCACAAGTCCAAAGACATGCAATATAGATAAATTGAACATGCTAAATTGGCCGTAGTTTATGTGTGTGAATGAGAGTGTATGGGTGTTTCCCAGTGTTGGGTTGCAGCTGGAAGGGCATCCGCTGAGTAAAACACATGCTGGATAAGTTGGTGGTTCATTCCACTGTGGTGACCCCAAATTAATAAAGGGACTAGAGCGAAAAGAAAACCAATGAATCAATATCAATAATAATATTTTAAATAGCACCTTTTCAGTGCTCAAAGACGCTTTACGAGACGATAGCAAAATAACAAAGTAAAAAAAAAAAAACACAATAGAACAGATAGCAAAAAGGAAGTAAAATCAACATCTACAGAACTTAATGATTGTAACATTCATAAAATAAGTGAGTATTATTATATAGATAATAATAACAATGTTCTTGTCAGCCATAAAGCAAAAATAATTTAATAACAAATTAAATGCTCCTTAATTGTCCATTTAAATCTTTGTACTGCGGCACACTATATGCTTCAAACCACTCTTCTTCATTCTTTTATAACCTGTTTAACACATTTTAATCTGTTTTAATCCTTTTTAAATCTCTTATTCACTTTTATTTTCTTGTTTCTTTTATTCTTGTTTATGTAAAGCATTTTGAATAACTATTGTGTATGAAATGTGCTATATAAATAAACTTGCCTTGCCTTAATTGCCACTAGGCTTTATTCATTTGTCAGGAAGATGTTTTCTTTTCATTTCAAATTTATTATAGCCTAATAACAAAATTAACTTTGGTACAATACCTAAACAGTACCTGGCTGCTCGTCATAAACAAAGTCAGATCCTTTTTTAAGTATAGGATTATTAAGAATAACTTAATATTATAGGCTGATTTTCATGCAAAGCTCAAATAATCAGGCATTTTAGTTTTGTATTTATGTTAGTCTTGTGCTATTGTTTTAAAATAATGTAATTCTGATTAACATTTGAAAATAAAGGGATAGTTCCTTTCCAAAGCTGATATAATATAAGGATGTTTGAAATGCTGTAGTTTATACTAGTAAACCTCATATGCAGTGTCTGACTTGTTGAACACTATTGCCACCTATTGGAAACTAATGGGAATTAACCTTCCTGAACCTGCTGCTTTACTTGTACACTTTTCTTTCCTTTTTTTCTTTTTACTTCATGGCGGAATATTCCCGTCTAGCACACAGAATGCTGTCACGCCGGTTTTCCTTCCGCTTTTTAGTTTCTGTTCCTAGTTCCTCTGTGACACATTACAATACAATGGGGTAGATAAAAACTTCTTCAAACATCCAGAACCCAATACACAACGTATTCAAAATAATAATAATAATAATAATAATAATAATAAATAGTTTTTTTTAAATATGCGAAGGTATTAAAAAAAAAAAAAAGCGAATTTTTCTTAAGTTTGCCATTATGTTTTGTGATCATTTATAACAACAACATTTTGTGTTTAAAAACCAACATTCAAAAAGCCGTACAAGTTCATGTGGTAAACAAACAAACAAACTCTTAAACATGAAATGAACATGAGGAGTTCTGCCTCAACGATGGATGTGTCCGTATTTAAAATAGCCTAAATGTATACATTGATATAAATCTAACAAGATAGAATCAAAGTGATTAATCTTAAGCAAAGTAACCCCTGAAACTAAGACACATATTAACAACTAATTCACATACAATAACATTTCTATTCAATTTTCCCTCCATTCTCGTAATTTCTCATTTTTAATTGTAGGTCTATTACATCTATTATAGTTTACTCGTCTGGTTTTCTGTCTGTGAGCTCCCTCTGTTGCTTGGATAAAAGAATAACGGTATTACAAGACAGAAGAGTGCTCAATTCTGCGGAAACATAATAGGCCTATGAATGCTCCTTCTTTCTATTGAATGGCGACAGAACGGATCTATCTGTATTTTTCCAAATGTGTTCGCATATTAACGTAATTTGTACATTAAAAAACATTAGTCATATTAATATTGCTGCTTTGAGTCCTTTAATAGAGTCTGAAAACAACAAAATATTCACTTTTGTCATTCACCTTTTCTGTTTAGTTAGCTATTGTAAAATGCATGTGTTGTGTGATGTTATTCTGTGATAACAAACAGTAGAAGCGAAGCTTATATGCTAAATGAAATGGTTAAGTTTAATCAAATTAACTTAAATAAAACGGACTCAAAGGAATAGTTCTTCTTAAAATAAAAATGACCACATAATGTACTCATCCTCCAGACAATCCTCATTGTGTATGACTCTTTTTTTCAGACAAACACAATTGGTAAAACGAAACCATATGCCGCTATGTCAACAAAGGGGGGAAAGCCACACCCATTAGTGACGATCTCTACCTCATTAGCATAGGACGTCAGTCTGTGCAGACACACAGGCATGTGTAGCTCCGCCCTCTTTTAAAAAGCGCACGTTCTTATTTGAAATTAAAGTGACAGTCATCAAAACGGCAATTAGCAAGACACACAACGTCATAAGACGTTAACATTAGGTTAGATTTAGGTCAATGTTATTTTGACGTTCAATAACGACAATAATTGATATTTTGTTGATTTTAGGTTTTGTTGGAAAGTGCCCAAATCCAACGTCGAGCCAAAGGGTGTAGAATTGGCATGAACGAAGGGGACGTGTCCCCACCAGTATCCACCAATTACTGAAATGTCCCTACCAATAATTTAATTGAGTTCAAAATAAAATAATGCTCCGTCAACCCTTAGTAACCTACAAGTGCATAAAGTCAAGTTCGCTACGAGTTCTCTATAATACTATTAACCAAGATTAAATAGAAATTTGGTTTCGTTTTTGGCCTCCATAACTATGAAAAACAATTATCAGGAAAAAACAGTTAAATTGCATCACACATCTCTCTAAATGTCTCCACATTCATACCTCCTTAAAGCCTGACTGCAGTAAAATCATGAAAATTGACTTTTGCAGCATGGGACATGATTGTTTTTGTATTAATAAGTGTCTATTTTATATTAATAAGTACTTTATTCATGTTTTTAAAAGTGTGGAACAGAATTTGCGCTGTTCAATGCATGCGTCCCCACCAATTTCAAGTGCTAATCTACGCCCTTGGTCGAGCCAACATCTTAAAGCAACATCATATTGATGTCAAATACTGACATTTATTCGTCAGGTATGGCAACCGAAATCCAATGTCTGATAGACATCATATTGGAAACGTCCATACAACATCAAGCTGTAACATCATTAGACATTATTATTTGGTTGTTTTTATTGTGTTGGAAAGTAACTCAAGTGCAACATCTGTCCGACATTGGACAGTGTCGTTCTGACGTTGGGTTCTGGCGTCAACCCGATTTTCATTTCCAAACAAAATGCAACGTCCCACAACGTTGGAGTACAACATTAATCTAATGTCATGCTGACATCCTGTGCCTGCTGGGTAGGATGAAAGCCTAAAAGGGGCAGTTTTAAAGACTTATAAAACATGTGTGAGGCATTTTGAGCTGAAACTTCACATACACACTCAAGAGACATCAGAGACTTATTTTACATTTTGTAAAAAGATATAAAATAGTACAAATTTTACAGGAGAGCTAATTATTTGGACCTCAACTGTATGTGTGCATGACTTTTTGATCATTTCATTTTTACAAGTGTGCTTGGCCCTTTGATAGGCCCGACTTGCATCACCCCAACTGTAGTAAGTGTTTACATATTTTCTTGTGATGTAATTAGAGGTGAAATTG